CCCCCGAGTCGAACGAGTAAGAAAATGATAAAACAAAAAAAACAGAAACTTTTTTGCCTAAGCGAACCACGAGAGTATGTAATTTGCGAATTGTATTATACAGGCTTAGTGCCGGCGCGTCGGCAAAAGAAATATTTTGCAAAGTAATATTTGAATGTGAAAAAAAAGAGACAGAGAACAGAGAAGAGAGGTATATATAAATATATATATAAATATAAATGTATAAAATAATGAATATAGTGTACATGTATACTATATATAGATAGTCACGTCACACGAAACATTTGCAGAACACTCACAACACACGTTTCGAAACACCTCTTTGCCCGCGAGAAAGGAAAAGAAACGAAAGAAACTGATAAAAAAGAAAACAAGCAAACAGAGAATAAACAGAGATAACGATGAATCGAGCACGACAAAAGGGTAACAATTTTCTGCTGCAGAGTAAGATAACAATAGAACGACGAGACCAGTCGAGTCTTCTCTAATTAAGGACCGATATTTCGAATGCCATTCCACGGATTTTGTTTTTCATCCTCATTTTGTGTTCTTCTTCTTTTTTTCCTTCTATTTTTCTTCTATTTTCTTTTTTTTTCTTTAATTTTATCTTGATTCGCTTCGACCCCCTTTGATTCGCTAGAGCCACGATCGAACGGAAAAATCGACTATCAATCGGCTCGTCGGACGTGAAACGATGGGCAAAACCATGGGCGTGACGATTCGTTAAAAGATCTTGACGTGCCGGGATAATATATACAGTGTGAACGAAACTTCTTTGTCCGTGTTCTTGGGTTTGCGTGACGGTTACGGAGCATTCGTCGAGGTTTGCCATTTCGACTGTGTGATATCGTCGCGCGTACATACCGCAACTCGTTCGCGATAATACGCTGTTCGGAGTCATTCTTTTCTTCACTGCCGAAACGAACTTCCTTAGTCGTTGGGACGGGACGCGAACGTAATAAAAATTTCGTGGTCGAGATTCCGAGTGCAAAAAGGGACCGCGCGTAATCGTTCAACTCGCGAGCGGGTTTCGCGCAGTTTTCGTGTTTTCGTTTCCTTTCGCGAGATTTTGGCGCTGGTTCGAACCGATACCGATATTCTTCTCCGCGGGACCTCCTCTCCGGTGCATTCACATTTTACGAAAGCAATACAACGTACGTTCAAAAAGGGAATTTCTATGGATGCGCGTCGTCGAACGGCAAGCCGCTTCCGACGAGATGGGAGAGGTGTCTCGATCGAGTTTAAAAAAACAAAAAAAAAAGCAAAAAAGAAATAATGGCGAATACATACGATGAATCGTGTTTTCCGTTTCTCTCGAAAAGAAAAAAAGAAAATACCGTGCGCGGGGTTTTTTAATCGTGTCCGGCGGCGTGTAAAAGTACATCGAAAAACCCGCGACCGCGTCCCAAGCGTTATCGAATTTTATCCGGGCCAGGTTCCGCGCGCGACAAGGAGTACCGTTTATTATCGAAACGATTGAACGAGACAAGAAGGAAAGGGAAAAAAGAAACTATGTGAAAACAAATAAAAGAATTCTATTGTTCCCGTAGCGTGAGAGGAATTTTTTTAAAACCGACGATTCGAATTTTCGACTAGGATTAAAAAAAATAGCAATGTAATTTTTCGCGCGGTGTACCCGCGAGTGACGGACGAGAGAGAGAGTGTGTGTGTATGTGAGAGACAGAGAGAGTGTGTGTGTGTGAGAGAGAGAGAACGAGTGAAAGCGTGTGCACG